GCAGAACAGGCAGATCTACTGAAATACACTGTTGAGGGGAGCAGCAGGTGGGACAAGAGAGGTCTGGCCAGGGATCAAACTCATGTTGCAGTGGCTGTGGATAGCTTCATAGTGCTGTGCTTTACCTGTAGCTCCACATCTTAGGCAACACTTCTACAGTTGGTATTACTGAAATTGCAATTTAAAATTTACATATCGATAAATATGAAGGATATATTCCCTACCAATATTGCTTGAGAATATTTGCTTATTGAAAATAATATTCTCATGAAAATAATAGTATTTTTTTGAGAATAGGAAAACTAGAAAGTAACTATAGTTCAACTAATAACTGTAGGTTCAGAAATAAAAACAAGTGTACCGTCAGATAACTTTATGATTCATTTTTAAGCAGATTTTAATTGATAGGATGTAAAGTACTTAGTCACTAATGCATCTTTATTCTTGTCATCATTAATGTACCAGTTAAATTGAATGAAATGGCCTATATCAGAGGAGGGTAGTGTATGTTTTCTCTGTATAAAAATCTACACACATAGATTAGATGCAGGGCGCACTATCACCGATATAGTTCATCATTGCCCGAAATGTCGTTATGTGGTGTATTATTTTGCTTCCTTGTACCTCAGCTTCCTCATCTGGAAAATGGACCGTAATAGTTTTCACAACAGGGTCAGGTATGCATATTATGTAATTCAAAAGAGTTTAATATTTGAAAAGTATTTAGAACAGTGTCTGACACATGGTATTTGTTAAAGTAAAATTATACATCACTAGCAATATATAATTGCTAATCTCTGGGCCACTTTGAGAACGTGGAGAACTTTCTGGTATGGAGAAATGTGTAGATGAGGTAAACAAAATACTATCGTTCTCTTTATCAATAAGTGCAGAAAGGGACATGCTGTGCTTATATTTGCTACTGAAGAGAATTTTCTTGCCATGAAATTAGATGCTGCTGGCATTTGTAAATCAGTGATTTAATTTGGGGCAATGTTTCCTAGAACAATAAAATCTAAGACTAATTGACATCGAATAACCATGACATGACTTTTACGAGTGTTGTCTAGCACGAAAATAGTCTTTTAAGAATTGCTTCTCCTACATACACATATATCATGAATATTTGGCTTTGTATACTGTGTTAAGTGGACATTGCTGCCCAATTTCCCTATTAAACTCATTCCTTTCTTCTAAATAATCAGATGCCATGCAATGGAGAACTTTATTATAGTACTAAGGATTTCTGAAATGTCAGGTGTGTTAAAGGGCTTTTATTCCTGAAAATGTATAAGACATCAGGGTTAAGTTTAGTAAATTGTGGGACTTCTCAGTGTCAATCCAGATGATTTGACAACTATTAGAAATTCCTCCTCTCTGTCAAATATCTTTTCCCTTTTATTTATTGATATACTGTTTCAAAGTATGTTCTAATTGGTGAGCTTCCCCACCCCCCACCCCATTCATTTTCACAGACACACTGTAGTTCTCATTCTTCCTCATGTGTGCACATTGTTTCACTTCATCATACAAGAGACTAGTCGGTATTTGCTACTGACTTTCAACTGAATAATTGTTATTATATTTGTCTATTTCCATTTCAACTTTGTAGAACATTTTTGGCTTCATGACTTTTCCCTTTAATTTTTCATCAATTAAACTTATTTCCCAAAGGAAAATTTGGGAATTTTTAAAAAAGATTTATTTATTTATTCAGATGGAACTGGGGTACAGGCCAGAGATGCGGAGGGTGAGAGGATTCACCAGAGACAGAGTGGGGAGCAGAACAGGCAGATGGAGGAAGTACACTGCTGAGGGGAGCAGCGGGCAGGTCAGGAGAGGTCTGCCGCGCCATGTGGATCTCCTCTGGGAAGGGCGGGGATTGAACTCATCTGGAAGTGGCTTTAGCTTCTCAGTGCTGTGCTTTAACCCGCTGCACCACCATGGAGGGCCGGAAAATTTGGGATTTTTTACAATGTTTTTTAAGATTTATTTTTATTTTATTTACACATATTAGAAATGGGGTGTGGGACAGAGGTGAGGGGAGGTGATGAGAAGATCCACCAGAAGCAAAGTGGGGAGCAGAAAAGGCAGATCTACTGAAATACAGGCAAATCTACTGAGGGGAGCAGTGGGTGAGACAGGAGAGGTCTGTTTGCTCCATGTGGGTTAGCTCCCTGGCTGGGGATGGAACCCATGCTATAGTGTCTGTGGAGAGCTTGATAGCATTGAGATTTTAATTCCTGTGCCACCAGGGAGGCTCAGTACTTTGCAACTGCTTAAATACGTGGTGACACTGCATTTGATTATTATATTCTTAATACCAAAATATTATCCTAGTGCTTGTGGATTTTTTTTATCATTTGACAAATTTGATAAATCTTTATCTTCTAGACACAATTTATGCTGAGAAGTATATGAATCCTCTTCTTTGGGATTTTATTTTATTATTTTTTAAAGATTTATATATTTATGCATATAAGAACAGGGGTACAGGCTAGAGGTGTGGGTTAGTGAGAGGATTCACCAGAGACAGAGTAGGGAACAGAACGGGAAGATCTACTGTAATACACTGCTGACGGGAGTAATGGGAGAGATAGGAGAAGTCTGCTGCACCATGTGGGTCAGCATCCTGGCAGGGGTGAAACTCGTGCTGCAGTGGCTGTGGAGAGCTTCATAATGCTGAGACTTAACTCCCTGTGCCAGAAGGAAGGCTCTTCTTTGGGAATTTATTAATCCTTGGTCTATAAAAAGACAAATAATTTTACCTTTATATCCAGGTATATCTATAATTTTATACACCTTTTGTTTATTAGAAGAGATGAAAATATTGGGCACTTGCTGTAGCTGAAAGTATAATTTTAGACAGAAAAAAGCAGGTGAGAAGAAACAATAATATACAGATTTAGTTAAATGAGCATATTTTAAAGACTGTTGACTGATTTTCTTTGTTGAGGTTATGTTTAATGGGAAATTAGGAATCTAATTTTCTTTAAAGAAAATGGGGATGAGAGAGATGAAAAGAAACAGAACACAGAGAGCCTGCATTAAGGTGTCAAAGACCCCTCATTTTGATTAAAATTAAAGATTTTTTTATTAAATTGGTGCCTTTCAGTTGAAACAAAAAA